ATTGGCCCAGGTTCAAGGAGTGGCTGGGGCCACAATGAAAACAGTCGGAGCAGGTTTCAGCCCTGGACACCCCCGGCCCCCTTCCCGCGGGGATCCCCGCCCACACTCCCAGCCGGGGCGGAGGGCCGGCGGCCTCCACGCTGGGGTTGTGGCCGTCCCGGGGAGCCGCGCTGTCCTCGCTGCCGCCTGTGCTCTGGCCTGCAGTTGGGAAAACCTGGTTGCCCTCCAAGCGGCCACATACCACAGGCTCTTAATGAAGAAAGTATGTTCCCATTTCATGTCACTCGCAAAGAATGAAAACAGTGACGGCATGTATTTACCCTCACTGCCGATACCCTTTCTGTTCCTAAGTCCGCTGGGGGTTGTGAGTCTTGAAGGAACTGACTGTGGGCTGTGAGAGTGTAACCTCAGCCATGCGCTGGGGGGACCCTTGTGGCTTCTCTCCGAGGGCGGCTGGAAGCGAAGGAGACGAGGGCCTTCCGAGCCCAGGCCTGGCCGTCCAGGGGCTGGGAGCGACTGCTGTCTTCTCTGGGGCTGATGTCTAGCTCCCTTTCGCCAGCTCTGTTCCCTTTCCTTTCTGAATCTTCAGAGAGGTCAAAGCCATCATTTCTTGAATCTGAGGCGTCTCAGCCAGTGTTCCCGTCGCGTAGGCCCTGCTGCACACCAGGACTGGCCGCCTCTCACCGCGCTCGGCCACCGGACTCTCGGGAGCCATTTCAGGTTAAGGGACTCGCCCCAGGCTAGCAAGGGAGTGGATCTGGGCTGCTGTAACGGTGCCGGTGCCGCAGGCTGGGGGACTGTAAACAGCTGCCTCCTCCTCGGGGCTGGGCTGGGCAGTCCGGCCTCAGGGCCCGGCAGGTGCTGTGTTTGGTGAGAGCGGTGTCCTGCGAGTGCCTCACACACCTGGAGGGGGCAGAGGAGCTCTCTGGGGTCCCTAATAAAAGCTCTCATCACTCTCATGACCTGCTCACTTCCCAGAAGTCCCACCTCCAAATACCATCCCATTGGGGGTTAGATATATACATAGGAATTTTGCTTTTTTTTTTTTTTTTTTTAAAGATTTACTTATTTATGCCTACGAGAGCTGGGGTACAGGCCAGAGGTGTGGGGCGGGGGTGGTGAGAGGATTCACCAGAAACAGAATGGGGAACAGAACAGGCAGACTGACTGAAGTACACTGCTGAGGGGAGCAGTGGGTGAGCCAGGAGAGGTCTGCTGTGCCATGTGGGTTGCTCCCTGGCAGGCCAGGGATCAAACTCGTGCTGCAGAGGTTGAGGACATCTTCATAGGTTGCATCTTCATAGGTTGGCCTCCGTTGCACCACCAGGGAGGCCCCCATACATAGCAATTTTGTGGAGACAAAAACATTTAGGCTTTATGTGTCCTTGGCGGTGGGCCTGAGATGCTACCATTTCTGGCTTATTTTGAGAACAGCCAGAGACCAGGGGAGGCTCTCAGCAGAACACCCAACCATCGCAAGGTGGTGGCAGTGCTGGGGGAGGGGAGCCCGTCTTGGTGCACCCCCTGTTGGTGACAGCTCAGTGAGTGTGCTGCCTCCTCTGGATAAGGGAAAATGGGAAGTGATGCCACCCTGCCTAGCCCTTCAGGACCGCATGCTGCATGTTTGTGAGCAGGAACCCACATGCTTGCACCTGCGCGTGCAGCGTCATTCCCAAGTGAACTCAATCACCGGCCCGTTTACTTAATGGGACTTGCCGATTCCTGTCCTTTCATGCCTTGCCTCCCGAAGCCACCCCTCGCGTTCTGTCCACCCCATTTTTGTTCACTTTTCCATTGACTGGACTGGACTCTCTTGTGCTGTAAAATCATGCATGCCCGGGGGACAGCACGCCCCTTGCAGTCTCCTTGGCCTTAGAGTCTGGACTTTCCTGGCTGAACCCCGTCGGCTCCCCTCCCCATGTCCTCCCACCCTCTGTGCCCCGGGGACCCAGCCCCTCCCTTGGGCACGCTGCCCTTGGCCAAGCGCACAGCTCAGTGTCCTCGAGCTTATAATGAACTTTCTAGACCCTTTCTGTTTTCCAGTTACCTTCCTCCAGCCCGGCTCCAGTTTGCCATCTCTGTGGCCAACGTCAAAGATCACATCCCAAAGACCTCACCCTTATTCTTGGCCTCAGCCAAGCCATTAACTCCAGGCCTGTTACTGGATCACTCCCCTGCCGAGGGGTACAACGGGAGGGAGTCTCTTCCTACCCACCCATCTATACGTTCCTAGGTGTTGAATTCAAGAAGAGAGTTTTAGAGATAGTCTTGAAGGAAATGTAGGTATCAGTAAGCAGGAGAGCTTGAAGGAGGGTTTGTTGGACGAAGGAAGGACCCAAAAGAATAAGCAAGAATTGCTAGATGACTGGTGGGCAGGGAGCCTGGGGACCCCGAATACCCTACAGAACAGCAGCCTCTCTCTGGATTGGAAGGAAAGAGCAATGAGGCATGTGGCCCAAAGCAGTATTTTCAGATTCTAGAAGAGCTGGTGTGTGTGTGTGTGTGTGTGTGCGCGCGCGCGCGCGCGCGTGCACGCGCGCATGGGTAAGGCTTCTGTCCAAGTGTCCTGATGTGTCTACACCAACCCCAGCAGACCCAACCCCTGGCGTGTGTTAGGACCTCTCCCAGCTCCTGCTCTTTCTTCCTTCATGGCCTCACTGTCCATTCCCAGAGGCACTGCCCTTCGATTTTGTGGTTCGTGGTGGTGGTGGTGCTTCTGCAGGAGACAGGGCGTTCATCTCCACAGCTCAGAAAAGAATCCAAATCGCCAATTACTGATCCTTTTATTTCTTCCCGGGCTTCCAACCAGTGGCTTTCTTGCCTGGGCCCCGCTGTAGAGCGGGAGAGCAGGGGACCGAGGTGTGACAGCTTGTGTTGGAATCACATGGTGTTTGCCGCGCTGTGGTTTATAGCGGCCGTGTTTCCACACTGACAGCAACCGCCATATGGAGAGAACAAATCCTGTCAGATGAACCCTTCAGGAATCACAATATGGTACATGAAATCTCCTAATTGCTTTTGGAAGAGGGGGCTGTGTCTTGTCACATTGCACCGGCCGCCTGGTGCTCTCTGCTGCAATTGAACAAAAAGCGAGTTAAACACCAGACCGTTCACTTTTCTTTCTGTGTTGGTTCTGGGGAAGCTTCACTGCTGAGGGGAGGTGGGGAAACCTGTTTTCCTAACCTGGGGGCATCAGGTAGGGTAGGGTCAGCAGGAAGCCGGGCTGTGTCTGCGGGTCATCTTGCTAACAGGTGCAGCCTACAGACCTGTCACCCCCTGGCTCCCTCCTTCCCAGATTCCCTACCGGCTGACCAGCACACTCATCGAACTTGACATTTTATTACTGTCACTTGAGATCTTGTCTGCTTACCCACACCTCGCCCCCTTCCAACAGAATCCAAGCTCCCCTGGGGCTGGGACTGCAGCCCCTCCCCTCCCCTGCTCCACCTGGCAACACAGAGGTGGGTGAAGTGATTGTCACGTGGCTGTTCCTGCACCACCTGCACACAGAAAGGTAGACCGCACCCAAGCCTGAAAGGCAGAGTGGGGCAATAGGCCAAGGCTAGTTTCAGCCTCCAGCCAACTTGGGGAGGGAGCCGTGCAAGTGGCTCATCCATGTTGATCAAAGTATCTGTCCGAAGAGAAGGCGAAAGTTCTGAGTGCCTTCTGTGTGCACTGTGCCCGAGATGGGAAACTCCTACAAAAACAGCTCCTGCCCCAGGCAGCTTACCCCTGGGTCCTGTGCCTACTCCCAGGGGCAAAAACCCAAGTCAACTGGCTAAACAGGGACTTGTCAGGTGAAAATGCGGGGCCCCTGGCCTGGCCAGGGCGCTTCTGAAATTCACGGCACTGTTCTCTGTACAACTCTGCTCGTTTCCCCGTGTGCTAGGTTCATTCTGTGCCATCCCTGTCTAGTGCTAAAGATCGGTCCTACATCCTTGCTATTCCCAAATATCTTTCTTGAGTCATAGGTCCTTAATCTGTCATTGGGGCCAGAAAACAGAGGGCTTTGATTGAGTAGGACCGAGTCATGTGTCTGTCGCTGACCGCCCCTCCCCCGCAAACTGTGGCAGAAACAGAGACTTCCAAGGACTGAGTCCCCCGCCCATCCTTGAACCTATCTTGTGACTGAGACCCAGCTCTCCCTGGCTAGGACTGAGGCCCATGACCATCCCCAAGACTTGGGAGAAGTAATCTCTTAGGACCTTGAGCTGGATTTTTTAGAGACTCAAAGAGGAGATTCCTTAAAGGAATAGGATAGAACAGAACAAAAAGCCCACATCCATGATGTTATGTAATAGGTAGGGTTTATTAAACTTTTTACTGTTCTTGTTAAGATGCTTTGCATTTCAAGTAAGTTTTATATTTTTCAAATTGCCCTAAACAAAGCCCATCAATATGCTTTTCAGATGTGTGTGGCCTGCAGGCATGGTTTGATCCAGGCATTCATAACATCGTCAGTGTACCAACTCTGCTTATGATTTCCCCAGCTCTGACCTCCTCCTGTGTTAGCCTCATCCTCATAGCAGCTTTATTCACAGTGTCAAGAACACTGCAGCTGACCCTGGCCTCCAACCCAGTCCTTGCAGCACCTGGAAGAAGAAATAGCTCCTCTGCTCAGAGTGCTCAGGCCAAGTGTGTAGTTCACTGATGGGTACTGGCCTGGGTTCCATGTCTGTCACCATAGCCAGTCACAGTGGTCAGGAATGTGATGTGCTGACGGTCAGCTGGGGACAAAGACATCATCTCCAGAACCGCTGGCATCTCTGTACAGACATCAGTGAACAGGGAGTGGGTTAGGGTGTCAAGGCTGGGTCATAACCCTTGCTGACCTTGACCCCTCTGGGTCTGCAGAGCGTGGTGGTAAGTAAAGGATGCCGAGTGATTGCTGGTGATCTTGCTTCTTGTGTCTGGCACTCCTGGTGCAGGTGTGGGTGGACAGGACGGCCTTGCCTGACCCTCTCCTGGGCCTTACCATGTTCTTCTTTCCTTGCCTCCAGACAGAGATTACTGCAGTTTATGTGACAAACAGCCTATTGGGAGGCTGCTTTTCCGGCAGTTCTGCGAAACCAGACGTGGGCTGGAGCGTTATATTCAGTTCCTGGACTCAGTGGTAAGTCCCTACTCCTAGGGAGGGCGGAGGGTGTGGTCCTTTGTGGTCACTGTGATCAGTGATCATTTTAGCCTAAAGGAAAAGTTTGACTGTTTTGTTCACGTGCTTGCTTCCCTAGTAGAATGCAAGCTCTCTGAGGCCAGGACCCTGCGTTTCTCTTCACCCCTATGTAGCACAGCGCCCCCATGTGGGCATTCAGTAAGCATCTGCGGAATGACAGTGTGTTGGTTTGATTTAAAGCCAATCTGACCGCCTCTGTCTCCATTGGCACTGTGACCGTGCTTGACACCGTGGAGACTTCCTGCAGATGTCCTGGTCATTCCTTGGTCTCACAAAGCTGACTGATCCTCATGGGCTTTTAGAACAGGACGTACTGGAATCATCTTCACTCTCCCAGGTCAGCCTGACCGGCGGCTCTTTGGGGTTCTATCCAGGGAAGGCAGACTAGGATGGGCAGTGACGGATGGAGGCCAGTCTTACAAGCAATGGGGCCACCCAGGACTATGCCCCCCAGGTGAAGGGGACCCAGATGGTCTTTGTTTCCTAGAGGCCCTAATGCCATCATTGATGGCAGCCAGCCAATATCTGTCTCAGCTTGGGGGACAGCCCTGTGAACTCCAAATTTTTGTGACTTCCCTGGTCTCCATATGAATTTTTAGGCCCACAATCCAAACTAATCACTGTACGTCTCTACAGAAATCACGTGAGTCCCTCAAAGTTAACACATCCCAAAGCCCAGCACCAGCCTGCAAGTTGCCAAGACCCCAGCTCTGATGTGTTCCCTAGTCCAGTGAACAGCGCCCCACAGTCACCCAAGCCTGAAATCTATGCATTGTCCTTGACCTCTCCCTTTCCCTCATCCCTTCCCCGGGCCCATCAAGGACCATGTGCTTGGCTCCTTGACCCCCCGCACCCCCACATCTTCCCCCACCCCTCCATAGCCTCTGTCTTGGTCTCAGCACAGGCAGGCTCTTGTCACGTCCTACATAAGCGATTACAGTAGATCTCAGCCTTGGCTGAGCGGTAGAAACACCTGGGGAGCCTTAAACGCTACCAGGGCCCGAGCTGAAGTCCAGACTCATTAAGTTGAATCTCTGGGCGTGAGGCCTAGTGGTTTCATAACTTTTTAATACGGAAAATTTCAAACCATAAAATGCGAAAGTCTACAGGATAGTATAATGAACCCCCACGCGCCCTGCACCCGCCTTCAGCAACGATCAACTCATGCCTGTCTGGTTTCATCCACATCTGCCCCTCTGTAGCACTGGTAGCAAATCTCACAAATCATATTGTTTCATCTGTGAACATTTCAGGGCCTATCTTTCAATGCTCTAGACGCTTAACAAGAGCAAAATAATCACAGCCCCATTATCACAGCTTTAAAAAAAAAAGATTCCCACTATCACCAAATGTTAGTGCTCAAATTTCCAGTTTTCTCATGCGTTGTATACGTGCCAGCTGTAACCCTTTGTTTGAACTGGAGTCCCGATAAGGACTGCATGTTGTGATTGGTTGACATTTTTCTTGCCTCATGGGTCCTCCCTAACCACACCCCCATAATTGTTCATCCAGAAGAGCTCCAGGCCTCAATTTTGCGCTCATCCTCAGGTGTCACTTAATAGGCTCTTATGTCCTGTCAATCACTCATTGAGTCTAGAAGCCTGTTCAGATTTGCTGTCAATGGGGGTGCAGGGCTGACTTTGTAAGAGGTTTCATGTTCTTCTGTCAGGAGGCCTGCAAACCTGGCGGCAGCCCCGATCATGTGTAGATAATCAATACCACCGTGTATTGATTAAATCAGGGCTTGCCACGCTCTATCCGTCCATCCTGTGCTAACTGGCAAACGTTTCCTTTTGATTTGGTTACCCAGAGATAAAGTTCCTACAGGAAATACTTGATTCTTTCCCTGTTGTGTGTGTGTGTGTGTTCAAAGCACCAAACTGGGTCGCTAGCATCCTCTAGTAGTAACTGCTGGTTAGTTTTAAACGTGTGTGTTTAAATATGATGCATTTTGATGCTTGGTGGTCAGTATTCTCCTCCCCAAGGTGCCAGGGTCTCATCACCATCAGCCACTGGGAGCCCTTAGGGTCGTCTTCTGAGCCCTTGGAGACCGCAGCTGTCACTGCAGCCACCTTGTCATCCGGGATGATGTGATGTTCCGGGCTGTGTACGTTTTCCATTCCACCTAGAGCCTGTCCTGACTCCAAGCAGCCCTGGTTCCTTCCACTGGGAAATGGTACTTGGAGACCACAGCTGGCTGCAGGGGTGCTCAGCACCACTAGATAGGCCATTGTTTGTAGCAGATGTTGGCATTTTTCAAATCTCCCAGAACTGAACAGCAGGCCCAGGGTCAGCAAGCATTGATATCTAGGCTGTGGTCCAAGTTCTGAGGCTGACCGTCTGCCCAGAGGCCCTTGCTAGCCCTGTGTGCACCCCACCACCTGCTCGTGGTGGCTCTGACTTGCCACCACAGGGGTAGTGAGCTGGGATGGACCCCTTACCCTTATTGCCTGAAGTGCCCTCCTCCACCCCTGACCCCTCTGCCTGGGAAATCCCTGCTTATCCTCTGCACGTGCTCAGAAGCCTTCCTGTCTCCCTGCTGTGCCTGCTGCTCCAGGGGCTGGCCAGGTGTCTGCACCTGAGCCCCCTCAGTGGTGCAGAATTGTGTAGCTCTGGCTACAGGCTCCCGAGACTGACTGCCAGGCAAGGCTGGCACTGCCCCTGCCGGTGCTGGGACCTCCGGCAGCTAGTGAAGGCCTCTGTGCCTCGAGTCTTCATCTGTAGGCAGTGCCACGGCGTCTCTGGGTGAGGTGTTGAGGGGCCACAGGAGTCCCCACTGCTCAGAGCAACCAGCCCGTCGTGGAGCCCGGGTGTGGTCACAGGGACTGGACTGTGTCTGCCTCCTCCAGCCTGGTCTCCTGGTGGCACAGACACAGCTGGTCGTCTCTGAATCATCAGCCCCTAAGGCCACACCTGGCAGGTGGTGGCTGCTCAGGCCTCGGCTCAGTGGGGGCTGGTGACTGGTGTGAAGTTGCACCCCACTGAGTGGCAGGGCTGGGCCCCACCAGCCCCCCTGACCCCCGTCCAGTGCTCTTGCTCCATAGTGCCCAGATGCCCAGGTGAACTGGCTCCGGTAAAGTGGGGTCTGTGGTGGGTGGGCTTCTTCTGCACAGCGATTCTACACCCTCCTGGGCCTGTGATGTCACACACTGTCCCCCACATTGGATTTTCTGAAGATAAGGGCCAGAGGTTTAGCCAGACAAGTGCCTCTGATTCCATTATCACCCCTATTGCAGCAGCCAGGCTAGAAGAACATCCGGTTGGTTGTCTCTTTTAAAGTCTGTAAACTGACAGCTGTGAATCAATTTCCTGTCATGGGAGATGTATCCCTATAAGGGCCTTTGTGGCCATCAAACTTAGAGGCCGATGGCCGCGAACACATCCCTCCCCCGGCACAGCCACCTCACCGGCGCCTGGAGTGGTCACAGCCCTGCGTGGCCTGGTGAGCCCTTGGCAGGACCCAAGTCTTGAGTTCCTTTCTCCCCGGGGTCACAGACACAATGGGCCCTGGCAAAGCCTTCACTTGAGGCAGGAAAAGTAGCCTGGTACCATGTCCTCAGCCATTAGTTTAGTCTTTTATTCGTTTAACAAAAGTCCCCTCTGCCAGGCACAGCTGCAGTCCTGTAAGATAAACTGAAGAAAATGAACCGAGATCTCTGCCCTGTCAGGGAGGGAGGCCATAACGGTCAGCACAATAAGGAAATGAAATCAGATGTTGCAAGGTGATAAATGTGACGGAGAAAGAAGACTCAGGCAGGTCTGGGGGGCGTGGAGGCTGGTTATCATATCAACAGGAGGACCGTGATAGCTCAAACTTGGAGTACGAGGCACTTTCTGGTTCTTGCTTTATGATGATTTGTGATCTTCATGTCTATTTTATATGTTATATTCTGAGTTCTTTGTGGGCAGAAACACATATATTTCATTTGTATCTATGATGGCATTTAACCCATACAGATTTATCAGTAGAAATGGTTGTAAGTAGCAGGAAAAAAAAAAAAAAGGACAGTGAGCAGACGTGTCTTTGAGAAGGCAGCGTTGGATTGAAGTTGCTGAGGGAGTTAGCCAGGTGAGTGCGAGCAGGAAGAACACTGCAGACAGGGAACAGCCAGTGCGAAGGCCTGCAGGCCAGGGCATCCCTGGCAGGAGTGGAGGGAGCAAGGGCAGACGGGGCAGGAGAGGTGTCCATCACGCGAGGCCTTGTGCTGTTGAGCTTCGAGTGAGATGCAGTATGAGCAAAGCAATGGCACGCTTTGACTTAGGTTTTTCGACTCTCCCTCTGGCTCCTGTGTTGGGAACAGACTATGGGGGTGGGGAGGCAGGCGGAGAGCTCTGACAGGAGGCTACTGCCATCCAGGGCTGGTGGGGACGCCAGCCAGCAAGAGAGAATTGGCAGTGGGGAGAAGTGGCTGAACGGGGCTTGCTTTGAAGGCAGAGTTAGCAGTTTTTCCTGATGCATCAAGGGTGAGAGGGAATTGAGGATAATTTCAAAGCTTTGACCTGAGCAACTGGAAGGGTGGAGTAGCGGTACAGCCGTGGGGGGCACACGTTTGGGGGACAACCAGGTGCTTCATTTCAAGCACCTCAGCCTGAGACGTCTGTCGGCCACCCAAGTGGAGAGGCTGGAGGGGGCGCGGGGACTCAAGACTGGCGTTTGTGAGAAAGGTCTGGAAACAGAGAAGTCGGAGATGTCAATGTGGTGCTCGCAGCCGTGAGCTGGACGGGCTCCCAAGGAGACGCCGTGGAAGGAAGCGAGACGAGGACCAGAGATGGAGCCTGGACCAAGCTGCACCCCTGTGGAAAAGATGAGGTGGCAGCAGCTTTGGGACCTGTCTAGAGAGTTGATGAGGCAGAGCCGGGCAAGGCTAAGCCCAGGAGCCAGTGGAATTTTCCAGCCACGTGTCTTCTAGACACTTAGAGTCAGTCAGAGAAGAAGAAAA